AACGGAGCTGGAGGAATCAGGCTCCCTGACTTCAGACTATACTACAAAGCTACAATTGATTACAAAGTAATCAAGATAGTATGGTACTGGCACAAAAACAGAAATATAGATCAATGGAACAGGATAGAAAGCCCAGAGATAAACCCACACTCTCTTCACAAGTCACCTTACCTTTGATAAAGGAGGCAAGAATATACAATGGAGAAAAAACAGCCTCTTCAATAAGTGGTGCTGGGAAAACTGGACAGCTACATGTAAAAGAATGAAATTAGAACACTTTCTAACACCATACATAAAAATAAACTCAAAATGGATTAAAGACCTAAAAGTAAGGCCAGACACTATAGAACTCTCAGAGGAAACATAGGAAGAACACTCTTTGACATAAATCACAGCAAGATCCTTTTTGACCCACCTCCTAGAGAAATGGAAATAAAAACAAAAATAAACAAATGGGACCTAATGAAACTTAAAATCTTTTGCACAGCAAAGGAAACCATAAACAAGACGGAAAGACAACCCTCAGAATGGGAGAAAATATTTGCAAATGAAGCAACTGACAAAGGATTAATGTCCAAAATATACAAGCAGCTCATGCAGCTCAATATAAAAATAAACAAACAACCCAATCCAAAAGTGGGCAGAAGACCTAAATAGACATTTCTCCAGAGAAGATATACAGACTGCCAACAAACAGATGAAAGGATGCTCAACATCACTAATCATTAGAAAAATGCAAATCAAAACTGCAAACAGATATCACCTCACACCAGTCAGAATGGCCATCATCAAAAAATCTACAAGTGGGGCTTCCCTGATGGCGCAGTGGTTGAGAGTCCGCCTGCCAATGCAGGGGACACGGGTTCGTGCCCTGGTCCGGGAAGATCCCACATGCCGCAGAGTGGCTGGGCCTGTGAGCCATGGCCGCTGAGCCTGCGCGTCCGGAGCCTGTGCTCCGCAATGGGAGAGGCCACAACAGTGAGAGGCCCGCGTAACGCAAAAAAAAAAAGAAAGAAAAAAACAATCTAGAAGCAATAAATGCTGGAAAGGGTGTGGAGAAAAGGGAACCCTCTTACACTGTTGGTGGGAATGTAAATGGATACAGCCACTGTGGAGAACAGTATGGACGTTCCTTAAAAAACTAAAAATAGAACTACCATACGACCCAGCAATCCCACTACTGGGTATATGCCCTGAGAAAACTATAACTTAAAAAAAGCATGTGTCACAATGTTCATTGCAATACTATTTACAATAGCCAGGACAAGGAAGCAACCTAAGTGTCCATTGACAGATGAATGGATAAAGAAGATGTGGCACGTATGTACAATGGAAGATTACGCAGCCATAAAAAAAACGAGTTATTTGTAGTGAGGTGGATGGACCTAGAGTCTGTCATACAGAGTGAAGTAAGTCAGAAAGAGAAAAACAAATACCGTATGCTAACACATATATATGGAATCTAAAAAAAATTAAAAGGTTCTGATGAACCTAGGGGCAGGACAGGAATAAAGATGCAGACGTAGAGAATGACTTGAGGACGTGGGGAGGAGGAAGGGTAATCTGTGATGAAGTGAGAGAGTAAAATTGACATATATACACTACCAAATGTAAAAATAGATAGTGGGAAGCAGCCGCATAGCACAGGGAGATCAGCTCGGTGCTTTGTGACCACCTAGATGGGTGGGATAGGGAGGGTGGGAGGGAGACGCAAGAGGGAAGGGATATGGGGATATATGTATACGTATAGCTGATTCACTTTGTTATACAGCAGAAACTAACACAACATTGTAAAGCAATTATACTCCAATAAAGGTGTTAAAAAAATAATGAATTGTCTGTGTGTCCTCAGGAGAAAAGGAGGTGGATTTCTTCCAATATATAGTAAGAGGGGTCACACATCCCTTCAGAGGTGTGTTTGTGTGCATGTGTGGCTGGGGGTAGGGACCACTGAATGAAGAGTCTGGGGCACAGCTATTATGATTCTGGCGGGGACCAAGACTGAGCAGGAGAGAAACCAAATACTTCTCATTTAGTAATGGAGGTTCCACTGATTCCATTTTTTTGTCGTAATTTTGGTTTGGTTTTTTTTGTTGTTGTTGGTTTACCAGTGGTAGATTATTTTTTCAGTATACTTAATGGTGTTTTTTTTTTAATTGAAGTATAGTTGATTTATAGTGTTTTGCTAGTTTCTGGTGTACAGCAAAGTGATTCAGTTTTATATACATATATAACTGAATATATATGTATATATATTCTTTTTCAGATTCTTTTACATTATGGTTTATTACAGAATATTGAATTAGTTTCCTGTGTTATAGAGAACTCCATTTTTAATTGAGAAAAGACCACTCTACTCAAACCATCCCCAGTCTCCCCACAAACACACACACACACACACACACACACAACTGATGTTTGTTCTTGGGATCTGATCTTATTTCAGTAGACCCCTGTCAACAGGAACTGCCGGCCTCAGCCTTCACACGGGGATGTAAAAAAGGAAACTCCAAAAGGCTACTCCACACTCAACTTCCCCAGGGAACCAGCATCCATCTTGTGACTGCCTGTCTATGAAATTTGGCTGATGACCAACTGTAGTGAGGGTTTGGGGTGCTAAGACCATAGGATTAAAACTTAAGTCATTTTGTATGAGGAAAGGGCAAAGAATCTAGGGGGGGAAATCTCTTCCTTCGAAAAGAAGTAAGGTTTCCTAAAAGGAAGTGGAGTGAAGGTGGAAATTTTTGGATATCGACCTTGGAACCATGAGACACTTGATATGAGGGAAGAGGAAACTCTTGCACCTGAAATAAAGGATCCAGAATGAAAGTCTGAAAAGTGACCACAGAAGATCTCTTCACAAGTCTTTAAGATCCTTCATTTTTGAGATTTAAGGCAAAATTCAAATTCGCTGCAATTATACTTTGTTCCTTTCTCTATACTAATTATCTTCCCAAATCATTGAAACCCTTTATAAAATAAATATTTGTGTAACCATAAACCCAGAGATACTGGTCTTGAGAAAATGAAGGAACAGTGTCAAGAGAGAAAGGGAAAGCCCTCGTGCTCCATCTCTCCTTTCTACCTTCTGTACACGTACCTTCTGTGTGTTCCAGCGGAAAGAGGGCTGGTAGACTGAAGAACATGCCACAGCCTATCAAGAGGCGGAGACTGTTTGCCCATCCTGCATCTGGGCTGCCTTTGTGATTTGCTCTGACCAATAGAAATATGGCAGAAATAATGTGCTATTTTCAAGATTAGGCCTTTCACCCCCGGAAGACTGTCTGAGACCACCGCTTAAGAACCCAGTTTATCCTAGTGAAGAAAGAGTGGCCATATGGAGAACTGAGGAGTCCCAGGCCATTGACAGCACCAACGGTCAGACACAAGAGTAATGCCAATTTGCCCCTTCCAGCCCAGCCATGGGAGCCCAGGAGGTGCCAGCAGAGCAACTCCCCAGCCAACACTCAGAATCATTACAAATAATGATTCTATCTTGTTTTAAGCCACTAAGCTTTGGGGAGACGTATTAAGCGTCAGCCTGTTTACTGGAGCATGAACTCCAGATGACACCCAGGGGAACTGAAGGGCAACCATAGAGAAGCCAGAAGCAGTAAGAGAGCTCCCTAGTGCCAGGGAGCCCTGCAGAGAGGGCGGAGCCATGTGCAAAGAGAAGGAGAAACCTCTGCTTTCCTGTACAGAGAATGCTGCTCTCTGAAGGGAGAAAGAAAGTGACTAGCAGATGCCTAATTTGGGAGGAACTTTCTATCAGAACTCTCTAGACAGTAATGGACTGCTTTAATAGGTGCTGAGTTCTCCAACATCAGGAGTATTCAAGAATGGGCAAGAGATTGAAGGGCAGAATTCGAGCACTATGTAGTTTTCTCTCTGAGGTCACTTCCAACACCAGGCATCTTATTATGTTCTCTAAATCCTATTTGAGAAGACAGCAGTATATGCATAATTATGTCAATAAATCTCATTATCTTAAAAAGAGGCTCTGGTTTATCAAAAGCAGCAGTAAAGTGTATGTGAGCTACACAGTTCCTCTGTGTGCATAGTTTATCAACATGAATCTAGCCAGGCTGGTCAGAGCACGCAGACACATATCCACAACAGGCACCAGAGGACTGTGAGAATGGAGTACTGGAAAAATATCTGGCTCAAAAATGAGGCTTCTGGGCAGAGATTACATCTTTTTAGAATCTCTTTTTGGGGCCAGACCCTGTTGTTACCATTAAGTGAATTTGCAACTTGATCATAATAATGACAACAGCAATACTAATAATAATAGTAAGCACCATTCCAACTCCCCATTGATCTCTTACTGCCTGCAGCAGATCTGTTGCTGAGATGAGCTGTCTCTCCCCTCCCTTCAGAAAGGATTCTTGAAATGCCAAGGGGTATGTTTGGCCACATAGCAAAGTGCTGCTTCCTTCCAGCAGCTGGTAGACCCTCTTGAAATTTCCTTATAAGAAAGGCCACAGGCTTTATGTATGCTCATTACACTGACTTTCTCTGACATTCTAAGGGGAAATTAAACCTTGGGACATGCTTGTCAAAGGTTGTGCTGATTTTCTTTTTTAAAAAAATGCAGTGAAGCTCCCAAGACTGAGTTTACTCCTTCTAAATTTCCTATCACCACCCTTATTGGAGTGAAGAGGGCTCTGAAGTAGAAAACACTTGGAAAAGATCAATTAGAAATTGAATCAGCAAATTCTTTAGGGTTTAGCTGCATATGTGGGAACCACATTTCAAGCAAATATAAAGGAACACAGCAAATATATTTCCAAGGGAAAACAGTGGGTGGCTGGTGAGAAGCATGCAATGAGACCTCCTCAAAGGAGTGAAACCTCAGGAGTACATAAATGTAGGGTCTTCTCTTGGGAAATAGAGCCTGTTCAACCAGAGGGCAGCTAATTCTCTCCTCTTTCAATCCGAACTTCATCTAAGAGAAAATCTCTCAACCAAAATCATTGCGTCCTCATCTTGGAACTTACCTGAGAAAGGAGAAACACTGTGGGAGCAATTGAAAGAGTCTTTGTCCTAGTCCTGCTGCCAGCTCACTGGGTGACCATCTACAAGCCACCTTGTCTCTCAGAATCTTGGATTATGTGTCTGTAAAGTGAAAAGTTTCCTTCCAGGTTTATGAATCGGTAAAATCTGTGCATCACACCCTCTCAACTTCATTCTGTCCTGAAAAGCATTCTAGGGGACACATACTGAGTGAATCCAGTTTTGTGATTGGTGATGGGGCATTTAGAAGATGAGACTAGACAAAGGAAGATGCTCCTTTCCCACAGACAACATGTGAGGAGTTTAGCTATGATCTGCTGTTACTAACTTTACTGTCACTCTTATAGGAACTTTTCTATTTCATGCTGGAAGCTGGGACATGGTGGAGCCAATGAGAGGATGGCCAAGCTTTCGTGTGGGAGGACTGTTGGGTTACAGTGGCCCAAGCTTGGTGTATGACATAGAATTTGGGGTATGTCAGAATCAGATGAACCTCTCAAGGAGGCAGCTGACCTATGATTAAGAAACCATGGTTTCACATTTGTGTTTCTTGCCTGGGAAGGGCTAAAGGGATCATTCTGGCTCCTCAGAGTCCGGAGCTGTAACATAGAATTGGGAAGGCAGGAAACTAGGAGTTGGAATTTGGCAAGGAATGGGGATTATTGTTGTGTCATGGCTGTTTTAATTAGAAGGCAAACCCAGAAAGTCAGCCCACAGGGAGAGGCATATCAGAGATCAACCCAAGTGAGGTATACAGTCAGTGTGATGGCAATGATGATAACATGGGTACCTTGGAGACCAGGATTTAGTGCTAGCTCTGTTGGGCAAATTCACATCTCTGAGCCAACTTTCTACATCTGTAAAATGAGGAGAATAATCCTAATCCTGTTTGTCTCATGGGGTAATGTTGTAAAGCTTACATGAAAGCATGAGTGGGAAAGTACTTTGTCAACTAAAAAATGTTATGAAATAATAGTTATAAGACATGACTATTATTCCAATTTTCTCTGGTTTGAATTATTTCTGATGAGACACAAGTGGTAATTCTTATAGTTGTTCCTTTGTCTGTTGGTAATATGTTCCCCATCTCAACTCCATCCAGCTGCTTTTAAGATGTTTTTCTTTATCATTTACTTAACACATAATCAGTTTATAATGATTTGATTACAGTACACTCTGACTGTGGTGCGGGGTGTGTGTGTGTTTATCTTGCTTGAAGTACACTGAGTTTCTTATATCTGTAGGCTTATATTTTTCATGTCACTTAAATTTACAATAGATCCCTTGATATTGTATCACAGGACAGTTGTCCCTGAGACTTTTCTTTCCCCCAGCATTTTATCTCTATGTGCTTCCATGTACATAATCTTTGTTGTTCTGTCTTCAAGTTTATTAGAGTTGTTTGTTTGGTTTTTTTTTGGCTGCGTTACATAGCTTGTGGGATCTTAGTTTCCTGACCAGATGCCAAACCCACACCCTCAGCAGTGAAAGCACAGAGTCCTAACCTCTGGACCACCAGGATATTCCCTATTAACCTTTCTTATGCATTGCCTAATTGATGTTAATCTCATAATTTTTAAATTTCAAATCATGTAACTTTTAATTCTAGAACTTCCATTTTGTTCTAGAATTAAACTTGTCTTAACCTTCTCTTTCTGAAGGTTTCCTATTCTTCACTCATTATGTTAATATTTCCTTTAAATTCTTGAATATAATTATAATAGCTATTCTTCACTCATTATGTTAATATTTCCTTTAAATTCTTGAATATAATTATAATAGCTGTTTTAAAGTTCTTGTTTGCAAATTTTATCATCTTTCCCATTTCTTAGTTGTATTCTATTTTTCTGATTTTTATTTTGATTATACATCAGGTATTTATGCTCATTTATATACTTAGTAAATTGTATTGTATGGTTGACATTATGGGTACTATATTTTTGAAGGATTTTATCTTTATTCATGACAGAGTTTAGTGCTTTGTTGCAGCAGGCATTTAATTTGCTCATGGACCAACATAGTCCTTTCAAGTTTTCTTTAGAGTCTTTTAAATAGTTGGTCTAGAATGACTATTACCATAGGGTTAGGCTAGTTCTATTGCTAACGTGTTGCCTTTATATGGGTTTTATTGAATTTCTGGGATTTTCAGCAAAGTCTCTACTGTGGCTAGTCAGAATGCAAACATCTTTCAGCCTCATGCAAAATCTAGTATTTGTTTAACTCGCAGTTCCAAGTAGTTGGTTTCCTCTGATAGATATTTTCACTCTAGCTTCATGCAGTTTTTCTCTGCACATACACAGGTTAGTATTCAGCCAAAGACTCAAGGGGATCCTTAAGCACATTTGTAGAGCTCCTTCTGTACATAGCTTCCTTCTCCCTCTTACCCTGTCCCAGAAATTCTAGATGCTCCAGTAACCCCAAATTCTAATCTCTATCATTTTAGCTCTGCTAAGCAACTGTGCTCTGTTTTGCCTCCCCTTCTCTGTACTATGGTCTGGAAAGTGCCTTAAAACAGAAAGCCATTACAATATTGGGGATTATCTTGTTTGTTTCCTACCTCTCAGAGATCACAGTCCTGCACTGCCTTTGGTTCAACATCAGAAAACAGTTATTTTATATAATTAGTCTAGGTTTATACTAATTTACCAAAAGAGGGCTAATGTAGTATCTGTTCCACCATCAGGGCAGGAAGTTGAAGTTCCAACATACAGAATATGTGACTACTTGGTACAAAGTGCTGTGTTAGTCTTTGAGACTTCACAGATAAACAGCACACCCTAGGCCTCATTACCTTCTGGAAAAGATAGACAAATAAGTTCAATGACATCAGGGGAGTTTTAGCAGAGAAAAGTACTGAGTGTCATAATAGTTCAGAGGAGGGGACAGGAAGTCAGGAAAGACTTCCTAGAGAAGATGGCATTTAAGCAGGAAATTTCTGTTTTGCTGGTTGGAGAGTAGAAAGACACATTAAGCAAATGAACAAAGAAAAAAAGTGTGTGTATAGTTAGGAATACTAGATGACTGTTGTATAAGTTGTATGGGTGTGAAAGAAAACTGTTACCATGTGAAACTAGAAAAATAAGGTCCAGCTCTGGAAAGTCCATGAATGTTACGTTAAATATCCTGTACAGGAACCCATAGCATCATAATGATGAAAAGTAAGATCTTTGTGAGAACTTGTCTGTAATTTACTAACTGAGATTTGGGGTAAGTTTAATGATAAACTTCAGGGTTTTTTTCTTTTAATTTAAAAAATAGGATAATGTCTGAACTGCCTTATTATATCAATGATGGTTAATTTAGTTAATGCCTGTAAAGCACTCAGCTCAGTGCCTGGCATTTAAGTGTTCAGAATTGTAGCTGCTTATGTTATTGTTGTTATTTCTGTAGGCAGATCGAACCAGAATTAGTTTGTGAATTGGGTTACTTTGTGAATAGGTATGTATTTTTATATTTAAAAAATGCTGTTGGCTGAATGAGGAATAAACTACACATAGGAGAATGATTAAATGAAGACCAGAATGAACAGAATATGGAGTGGGCTGGAAGGTATGCACAGTAGAGACCAAGGAGTTTCATCCTCCATGGATGGAAAAATAGCATAGTCAGGGTCTCAAGCTATGGCCAACTGCTTTGACCCCATTAGAGTGTGTTTTACATGTATCTGTTCTGGAGCAGAGGTGCCCAATTATAGTAAAAAATCCCCAGACCCTGAGGCATCATTGCCAGGGGTGATAGGCTCATGTGTTCATTTTAAAGCATTACTGAAATTGTGAGCATTTTGCCCTTTGTGGAGGCTCATATTTTTCCAAATGGCTACAACAATATCTCTGATCCGTACATTCTTCCTAGAATGCAGTGTTGACACCGTACCCATTAAATTTGGGGGGCTTGTTACTGGAGCAGAAATGAACTATGTGACTTTTGAGCCAAGGCCCTAAAAGGCAATACAGATGACACCTGGTCCTCTTGGGACACTTTCTTTTGTAATTCAATCACCATGCCACGAGAAAGCAAAGAGACCACAGGTAGAGGCCACGTATAGGTTTTGTGGATGACGGCCCCAACTGAGGTCCTATAGTCACTATCGACCTCTGGTCGTGTGAGTTCCTGTGGCCTCCAGTGATTCTGACCCCCAGTCTATAAGCTGCCTCAGCTCCCCGTGCGGAGCAGAGGTGAGCTGTCCCTTCCAATCCCTGCCCAAATGCCAATTTATGAGCCAAACAAACCAATGTTATTTTAAGCCACTAGATTTGAGGTGGTTTGTTAAGTAGCAATAGATAACTGGAATACTGTTGTATATTCTCTCCCTTTAACAGTTACTAAAATACAACTTCCAGCTTTCAAGGTTCTCAATTTTAAAAAATGTATTAAACAGGGTCCTCATATTCACAAAAAAGGTGAAGACACACTGAACTAGAAACTTTAACTGATAAAGAGAAAGTAGAGCAGAAGCCATTGTACCAATGATGTTGGTTGGTTTGTTCTAATAATACTATTCTCTGCCTGTAAGAAACTGAAAAATGTTTCCTGAAACCGGATTCTATGTCCCACAGCAATTATTTTGACAATATATTTTCCTTTTACCCATGATAACACATTTACTTTCCACTGAAGCATAATTTGTTTTTTGAAAACTAGAAAATTATACCTCTCTTGATGTCGACAAAACCAGGTAAACTTAAGTAACTGGGAAAACAGGCATCTTTTAAAATAATTCCTGCCAATTTGTCTTCTCTCCGCCTCCCCATACTTCTCCACACAGCTCCTTGCACACACTCTCAAATGTGGTCACAACAGTTGTCAATAACAACCAAAGATTAAGCTCCACGAGGAGACATTCAGAAAATTGGAGCCGGAAACACTTCTAGTGGTTGGTTCCATTCTCCCTGCGGTTGACTCATCTCAGAGAGAGTGCACAACTCATGGTTTGAGATGACAGCAAATCTCCCAACAGCCTGGATAACCTTTGCTAAGGCCTTACAAATGGGAAAGGACCGTGCTAGTTATTGAGGAATCACAGATAGATACAATAAGCACCTTTCCCAGGACACATTAATCCAATGAACGGTCTGATGGTGAGCAAAACATTTGAATCCAAGACCTGTGATCTGCCTGTTGCTCTGACAAAGGAGAGTGGAGGGGAAATATTCAACAATAGCCCAATCCATTTAGGGACTATCCCACCCCATTCTAACATACAGTATATATCCATCAAACTAGCCAGAATTTAAAAAAAAAAATTGTTTCTATTCAAATACAAATACAGTTCCCAGTGGAACCCAGGATTTTTTTAATCCATTGTTTTTTTGGTTATATCA